CTCTGGAAATTTCTACTCTAGGAAAAAAGGAATCATGATAAAATTCTGATTAAAGCAGGATTTGCATCCCATGAGTAATTATACCATGAAAACAGAGATTACCTCAGTTATTCCTAAGGTTCTGTATGTGTGTGTGTGTGTGCACGTGTGTGTGTGTGTGTGTAAGAATGACTCTTATAAATTAAAAGAAACAATCTAAAAGCTCGAAACAATAGCTAACTCATTAAGAAATATTAAGCACCCATTATGTGCCACTAAGAGGACACAGCAGTGAGGTCGATAGATTTGCCCCTTGTCCTTGTGTATTTAAAATTCTAACGCAGGACACCAAATAACTGAAACAATTATAGGACAACAGATACTGAAACTAGGAAAGGAGGAGTTCAAGGCTCAGTGGGCATATAGCATCCTGGTGCATCTCAAAATACTCGGTGAGTTATCAGGTGCCATGCCAGCGTATCTATAACAACTATGTTGAATGTGCACTTTTAGAAAATGGGGAAAACTCTATTTGCACACATTGTGTTGCTTTCTAATTTGGCTTCAGCTTAAGAGTAGTTTGGATCTGAGCTAGAAGTCCAGCACTTCTGAATTGTTTGTAGTTGTGATGTTGAACCCTAAGTCTGAAGGTCTCATTCCACAGGATACTCAAGGAAGTGAAATAAGGATTTGAAGAATAAAGACTCAAGCAAATATTATGGGACTCATTTGGGGCTCTAAAGCTTGGGCAATAGTGAGAGTATAGTTTTCTGGAACGACAAGCAAAGAGCGTCTGGTAAGTAAACAACTTTGTAGAATCACCGTGAGTCATGAGCTATATAAAGCCACCTTAAAAATTGGAACTGTGACTTTCCAATAGACTCAAGAGAAGTTGTTTAGAACTTTAGACTTGACATGAAAAGAAAAGAAATAAGGTTATTACAGATTACATTCATGAGACCAAATATAATAAGGCTGAATGATCAAGAACAATTAGGTGAATGTCTTTATATTACTAGGCTGTTCTGAAGCTTTGGAGGTCAACTGACCCTGGTTCAAATCCCAGCTCAGCACATTCTAGCTATGTATGCTGGGCAAGTAAGTCCCGTAACTTTGCTGAGTCCTATTTTCATCACATGTAAAATGGGGAGAGTAAAACCCAGGTTGGTAGGACTACTATGAGGATTAAATAATTAGCAGAGGATAGGAACTCAATGATGAGAATCTTATGTTGATTGTCATTAACAGTATAAACTTAGTATAACTTTCAGTATACTCACTGCACACTAATAATTATAACTTTATATTATGCTTTGCTTGAAGTCAGTATTTCAAAAAATATACTAAAAAGGATCGTTTGCAAATATCTTCTCTCATTTACTTGGTTGTCTTTTTGTTTGTTGGGTTTCTTTGGCTGTGCAGAAGCTTTTTAGTTTGATGTCATCCCATTCATTTAGTTTGATGTCATCCCATTCATTTAGAAGTTTACAAAAACCCCGCTGAGACCAACGTTCATAAGTTTAGTACCTTTGCTTTCTCCTATGTATGTTATTGTTTCTGATCTTATGTTCAAGTCTTTAATCCATTTTGAGTTAATTTTTGTGTATGGTATCAGATAGCAGTCTATAAGGGGCTAATAACCAAAATATATAAAAAACTCATACATCTCAACAACAAAAAAACAATTCAATTAAAAAATAGACAGAGCACCTGAACATTTTTCCCAAAAAGACATACAGATGGCTGACAGATATATGAAAAGATGTTCGACTTCACTAGCTATAAGAGAAATGCAAATCAACACCACAATGAGACGACCCCTCGCACATGTTAGAATGGCTATTATCAATAAGACAAGAAATAACAAGTGTTGGAGAGGATGTGGAGAAAAGGGAACACTTGTACACTGTTGGTGGAAATGTACATTGGTACAGCCACTATGGAAAATAGTCTGGACGTCGCTCACAAAATTAAGAAAGAACTACCATATGACCCAGCAATCCTCTTCTGGGTATCTACCAGAAAATTTTGAAAATATTCATAAAGACGTATGTATATACCCTTATGTTCACTGCAGCATTATTCACAGTGGCCAAGACATGGAAACAACCTGTGTCCTTCAATAGGTGACTGGATAAAGAAGAAGTGGTTACATATGCACAATGGACTAACACTCAGCCACAAAAAGAGATGGAATATTGCCATTTGCAGCAAGATGGGTGGATCTTGAGAGTATTATGCTAAGTGAAATAAGTCAGATGGAAAAGGCCAAGAACCATTTGATTTCCCTCATATGTAGGATATAAAAGAAAAAGCAACAAACAAATAGAGCAGACAAATACATGTATAGACACAGACAATAGTATGGTGGTTACCAGAGGGGAAGGGCAATGGAAGCAGCATGAAGAGTGTAAATGGGGTCAAATATATGGTGAAGGAAGGTAATGTTATCTCTCATATTTCCATTGACCTGATTGTCTCTCCCTAGTGACTAACATCAATCATCACTCCCCTGGGATCCAATTTTCATGACTAATCAGCCAAAAAAGTCTTCCACTTAACCTCCAGTTACATTCAATTCCAGTAAAGCCTGGAAGAAGAAAATGGGCTTAAAACTGTCCCTCCCTTATCTCTAGGTGACCTCAAAAAGTTTGGTTTCTTTCTGAACAAACTTGTGATGGGCCAGTTTATTATAGAACCAACTTTTCCACGGAACTCAGGTCATCCTATAATATATTCCTATTTACAATATAAAGCCAACCTCCAGGTTGCACATGCATGTGTGTCTGTAATAGTCATTTCAGCACAGTTGAACCAAAGTAGAAGGGTTATATTCATTCAGTAAATATTTCTTGAGCACTTACTATGTGCAAGACCTGCTCTGGGTGAGAAAGAAAAAGTTGTGAAATATCAATGAAATAGCTAAGATGATTATAACGAAATACTCAGCATTAGAAAAAGGAGTTAGAGAGCCGAAAAAAACTTACACATAGAAAAGACAATTGAGGCAATTCTCCAGGTGATTCTAACAACCCTCTCCCAAACCAAATAAAGCAACACCTCCAATCATTTATTCATATTATTATTATTATTATTATTATTGGACTAAGTTGCTGAAACAGATTTTGAATTACCATATTTCCCCATGTATAAGACGCTCCCATGATTTTGAGGCCCAAAATTTGAAAAAAAATGTATTACATAAAGTTATTGAACTCAAGTTTTATTCATCATAAAATTCATATAACTCCTCATCACTGTCAAAACTCCCAACCATTAGCTTGTCCTCATCTGTGTCTGATGACAAATTACTGTCTTCATATTTTGCCTTGTCCTCAGTTCCATCTATGGCATTTGAAATGCCACACTTCTTAAATGACTTTACAACAATCTACAACCACTGTATAAGATGCACTGTTTTTAGACCCCAAATTTTTTGAAAAAGGGTGTGTCTTATACATGAGGAAATACGTTATGTCTCTCATTAGTTGAGGGACACTTGTCAAATTATTTCACCCCTTTAGACTATAATATCTGTAAAATGAAATTACTAATACTACTTCCTGCCTCATAGAGCTGTTGTAAGAATTATATTAAATGCTGTATATTAGCACATGGTATGGCACATTGTAAGTACTCAATAAAAGTTGATTATTATCATTATTACTATTCAGACAAAATATCTTGATCTTGGATTATTTAGTTAGCTTAACTCCCCGATTCATTTCTTATGATTTCAAACATCTTCCTAAGATTCTTTGAGACTTGTGTACAGATGTAAATTCAGAGGCAAACTAATGTACTTAAGAAAGATGAGAAATTCAGAAATCCAGGCTCTTGGTCACCTCAGGAAGTCACCAAGAGATACTTTATATTTTCCTTCCCTAGCAGCTTTTGTGAAATGATTGGGTTCTATCAGGAGCAATTTTAAAGAACAAGAAGCAAAGTTCATCCTTCAAAACCAAATCCTAGAAAGGAAGCTAAAGAGAGAGGCTAAATAAACAAGTCTTCTGTCCCTACATATAATAATTTCTATACTGTTAGCTTCTCTTTATCAGGAGGGGTTTAAATGAAAAGAGAGGAAATATTTTTAATGGGAAATATTGAAAAGTGCTATTTTTTAATCCACTATAAACTTTATTTTTAATTGAGATAATTGACATATAACATTATATTAGTTTCAGGTGTACAACATAATGATTTAATATTTATATATATTGTGAAATGATAACCACAGGTAGTCTAGTTAATTAACATCCATCCCCACACAAATTTTACTTCTTGTATGAGAACTTTTAAGATCTACTCTCTTAGCAACTTTCAAATATACAATAGAATATTATTAACTATAGTTACCATGCTGTACATTATATACCAAGATTTATTTATCTTATAACTGGAAGTTTGCACTTTTTCATCACCACCCATTTTGCCCACTCCATCCCCCACCTCAGGCAAACCACCACTCTGTTTTCTGTATTTATGAGTTCATTTTATTTTTTAGATTCCACATAAGTGAGATGATATAATATTTGTCTTTCTGTCTGATCTGACTTATGTCACTTGGCACAATGCCCTCAGAGTCCATCCATGCTGTCGCAGATGGCAAGAGATTTCCTTCTTTTTGATGGCTGAATAATAGTCTATTGTGTATATACCAGGGGTGCCAAAAAATGTATACAGCTGAATACTTTGGTCAGTGTTGCTCAAGCAGTAGTTCGCCATAATCAGCAGTGTCTGGACACTGATGGGAACCACTTTGAGCACCTCTTTAATTGCAGAAGTCAAATGTGGCTTGTATTCATCTTTTGTTATTGGTATATATTATTACAATTTTAATAGTTTTTTTCTTTCTTAAAATGTGCATACATTTTTTGGCACCCACTGTATACACATGGTGTGATAAAAATATATGGTGAATGTTTAAATAAAAAATAATTTATTACAGTAAAAGGCACATTGCCATTAATTTCCCTCAAAATACCCCCCCCCTCTTTAAACACTTATCCCATCATTCTTACCACCTTCTGAGGCAGTTCTGGAAGTCCTCTTTCTTGAGTGTCTTTAATTGTGCTGTCATGGCTGTCTTGATGTCCTGAATCAATTCAAAATGTCTACCTTTCATGGCCATTTTGACTTTGGGGAAGAGCCAGAAGTCGCACGGTGCCAGATCTGGTGAATAAGGTGAATGAGGACACACTGTAATATTTTTGACAGATATTGCTGACAGACAGTATACCAGAAGCAATGTGTGACACGGAGCACTGTCATGATGGAGGATGATTTATGGCATGCTTTAAAACACACCTTTTTCAACCATAGCTCACACCCGACTGACTGCACTGAACAAGTTGAAACTTGTCACACACTGTTACTAAGGTTCAATGTGCTGCTTCCCATATTGAAGATCCCTGCCTTTCCACTGGATGGCACTTGGCAGAAGTGTTCACCGTATTTTTTTTATCACACAGTGTGTGTGTGTGTGTGTGTGTGTGTGTGTGTGTCTGTGTGTGTGTGTGTGTGTGTGTGTGACATTTTCTTTATACATTCATCTCTTGAAGGACACTTAGGTTGCTTCCATATCTTGGCTATTGCAAATAATGCTGTAATGAACATGGGAGTGAATATATCTTTTTGAGTTGGTGTTTTCATTTCCTATGGATAAACACCCAGAATTGGAATTGCTGGATCATGTGGTAGTTCTACTTTTAATTTTTTGGGTAACTTCTATTCTGTTACCGACAATGCACAAGGGTTCCCTTTTCTGCACATCCTTGCCAACACTTATTTCTTCTCTTTTTGATAACAGCGGTTTTGATTTGCATTTCCCTGATGATTAATGCTGTTGAGCGCCCTGTCAGGTACCTGTTGTCCATCTGTGTATCTTCTTTGAAAAAAACGTCTACTTAGATCCTCTTTCTGTGTTTTAATCAGATTAACTATCAAGTTGTATGAGTTCTTTATACATTTTGTATATTAACCCCTTAGCTGATATATGTGATTTGCAAATATTTTCTCCCATTCCATAGCTTGCCTTTTCATTTTGTTGCTGGTTTCCTTTGCTGAGCAGAAACTTTTTAGTTTGATGTAGTCTCACTTGTTTATTTTTGCTTTTGTTACCTTTGCTTTTGGGTGTCAAATCCAAAATATAATCCCCAAGACTGATGTCAAAGAGATCACCCCCTGTTTCTTCTAGGAATTTTATGCTTCCAGGGCTTATGTTCAAGTCATTAATCCATTTTGAATTAACTTTTGTGAATGATGTACGAAAGTGGTTATTTCATTCTTTTGCACATGGCTGTCCAGTTTTCCCAACACCATTTATTTAAGAGACTGTACTTTCCCCTGTGTATATTCTTGGCTCCTTTGTTGTAAATTAATGGACCATGTGTACATAGGTTTATTTCTGGGCTCTCTATTCTGTTCCATTCATCTGTGTGTCTGTAAAAGTGTTATATATTTTAGTAATTTTATAGTGGAAGTTCTGGAATACTTTTCATAGGAATCAGCTAATAGTTTGATTTCTTGATATTTTTCTGTTCCTTGCTAAACTCTCAGCAATGATTGTGAGAAATTTTATTACATAATGAAAAGATTGTATATTAGAAGAAATGTATTTTAGTGAATTATTTTGAAGGTTTAAGAAAAAGATTTAAATGTCATCCTTTAAAAGTCTCTTATTGTGTACTATGCAGGTTGTTGCTATTTTACCATCTTTATATGCCATTGTACATACCCAAATTCCAGGAATACAGTTAGACAATGGCGACAGTAATCCATTTGGATTAACAATTTTAGGAAATTCCAGTCATGCCAAGACATTTTTCCCTCTACCAGGAGAAATATATATACGAATATTTCTAGAGTAGTGGAGTCTTCTAGCATATTGCTAGACTGTTCTAGCATACTGGTCCCTGGTGTTGGCAGTCTTAAGTATTTTCAACCCTGAGTATCAGCCAACCAAGCAACAGAAAACTCCCGTTCTGGGATATTAGGACTATCTTTTTTTTTTTTTTTAATTGCCATTTCCTTTGTCTTGAAATTAGCACATCCTACCTTCGTGAGACTGGTAAAGGAAAATGTGCTTTTGAACTATCCAGGATTAATCCGTTTACATACAGAGAGAGATACACACGGTCACACACTCACATACTAGCATCCTCCTTCTCTGGCATAATTTCTGACTTTCAAATTTGCATCCCAAGGCGGAGGTAAGTGTGTTTTGAAGTGTCAGCTTTGCGCTGCTCTAAGCATCTCTGACAAAAAGCAAGCGGAAGTGATTGAGAAACCTCTCTTAGGACTGGTGCTTCCCCTCCGGGGCCACGACTATCCCTTTGCACTCCGCCTTTCTCCCGTTCCCCCCCAATATCTCTAACCCCTGGGCCAGTCTGAGGCGCCAATGTCCCCGCCCCTCTCGCTGCCAAGAGTGGTTCTTAACCTTTTTTGGATCCGGACCTACAGAAAACTACGGAGCCTCTCAGGATGGCGACAGAGGCTGGGGAAAGCACAGCTTGAAAAGCTTTGCGAAACTTTCAGGAGACCAAGGATTTGAAACACTCCCCAAACGGCAAGATTATGAACTTCATCGCTAAAGCTCGACTTGGGGCGATTAAACCTAGCGCGGAGCTCAGAAGCCAAATCTCATCCCTAGTGAGAAACTGATGGAAGGAAAGGCGCTCCAGCACTTGGCCACTTCCACTTGTGAGAAACCAAAATGAGGGGATAGACAGGGGCAGAAATTCATAAAGGGGGAAGGGAGGAGAAGGAGAGGACTATTTAAAAGAGACGGGAACAGAAGAGAGAGAGAGAGAAAAGGAAAGGGAGAAATACGGGAAATTAGAGGGGCACCATGGGAGGAGAAGCAGCGACCAGAGGGGAGTACAGGGAGACCGATCAGAGCAGCACAGAGATTGAGCGAGGCAGAGAAAAGAGATTCAGATGGTAGAAAGAGAGCAGAGAGAAGAGACTAGAGAGAGAGACACACACAAAGATAGACTGCAAGCGCCAGCAAAGAGAGAGAACTTTCTCTGCTCTTCATCCCCGGAACAGGGAGTCTCAGAAAAGCTCAGCTCCACGAGCTGCCTGGGGCCACCATCCGCTGCCTCTGCGCTCCCGGCGCCTCTGGCCTCCGCCTCTTGAAGCAGAGGGCCGGCTGGGAGTCCCGCACCAGCCGGCCAAGCAGGGGACGCGGTCTGGAAGGAGGCGGTCCCCGCTCACTTCGCTTTCTCCTCCCCTCTCCTCCTAGAGGCGGGCACCGGGGGTATTTGAGCGGCAGAGGACCCCCCCCCCGCCTCCGCCCCCCACTCCCCCATTCAAGAAGCCGCTCCGCTATCCCCGCCAGCACAGGGCGCCCGCCGCGCCTCGGAGCGCACGTTCTGCGCTTTCTCCTACACGTTCCCTGGACATTATGCGGCGGAGCAGCCGAGCCCCAGTCCTCCTCCAACTACTCCTCCGGCTCCTCCTGCGGCCCGAGCGGCTCAGCTCTCGGCAGGCGGCGGCGTTGCTCAGCCGAGCGCAGACGGGACCTTCCCGGCGAGACCTCAGCGACTCCTAAAGTCAAAAGTTGGCGGCGGGCGCCGTGCTCCGCGCGCTCTCTGCGGCCGCTGCCTCGCTTCGCCGCCGCAGCCAAGGAGGGCAGGAGGGA